AGCTCTTGTCACATAGTTAGAAGAGACAATAAAATTGTGATAGTTATGGGTCATTGTCTGCTTTTTGTATGTTATTATTCTCTGTTCTTTGGTGCATTATTTAATTAAATAAAAATTATTTAGTGTACTACTACCATTAGTATGAAAAAAAGTACACTTAAGTGTCATCAACAGTCAACAGCAAAAAAAAAGAAAAAAAGAGAAGGCCCAGGTAAATACTTTATTTCTTATTTTTCATATGTATTCTTTATTTATTATTATATAAGTACGTCAAATGTGAGAATAGGAAACTCTTTGGGTTAGTTAGGGTTAGATTATGTAAAATATACAATGATAATATAAAACATTTTCACGAGGCACACATGTGAGCAACTCGGAGTAGCTTGTGGGTAATGTAATTTGATAGATTAACGTGAGCCGCAATGTTCCCAAGCGAGTTAAGACTTATAATGGTCTGAATAGTAGTTAGACACAGTTCCAAGTGCAATAAAACAATAAAATGTAAGCATAAATATATGCATACTGTTATGAGTTTAAAACTACTTAGAATAAACAAATATAGTTTCATGTTACAATTTAACCTCATCACCCCGGGTACCCTTTACTGTGCATGACACAAGGTTTTAGTGTCTTACATTCAAAATTTTATTAAATTATTTTTTGTTTATGTATACCAATTAAAATAGCATAAAATCTTAGCTAATAATCCATATTTTAAGAGTATACAAGTTTTAAGTTGTTAATTCTACATGGCAAGATTAAAAAAAATCCTGAATTTCCACTAGTGTGACCCACGTGACATATTTTCTCTTAGCATGTCATCATCCCTATTTTATCCATCACCCCACGAAAAAGTAAGAAATTAAACGTAAAATACTCTCTATAAAATTATTATTGTTCAAACAAACCATAATTTTTATAGCCTTCAATTTTGTTTGGTTACAGTGCTATCAAGTAGAAAATCAAACCCCTCCTGCCACAATTCGTTGATAGTTCTCTCTAATGTATTATTACATATTACCTATAACCAAAAGAAAGTCAAGGTTTTCATATATCAAATGATGTATTGTATTATGTTGTGCTCTAAACAGATAATCGTCAATTTCACTCACAGTACAAGATTCGTACCCATGAGTAGTTAACAACTAGTTTGGATGAATTTGTAATGGCTCTTGTCACACAGTCAGAAAAATTTTGAGAGTTAGTAATAATTTGTCTACTTTTTGCATGTT